TTCGACGGAGTGCAAGCTTTTCCGGAGGGGTTGGGAAACCTCACTTCCCTTAAGACATTGCATCTTTCAGGATTCGACGGAGTGCAAGCTTTTCCAGAGGGGTTGGGAAACCTCACTTCCCTTGGGACATTGAATCTTTCAGGCTTCGACCGAGTGCAAGTTTTTCTGGAGGGGTTGGGAAACCTCACTTCCCAGGATTGAACTGAGTGCAAGCTTTTCCAGAGGGGTTGGGAAACCTCACTTCCCTTAAGCCATTGATGCTTTCAAATTCACTTGAGACATTGAATCTTTCAAGATTCAACAAAATGCAAGCCTTTCCAGAGGGGTTGTGAAACCTCACTTCCTTTGGGACATTGAATCTTTCAGAATTCAACCGAGTGCAAGCTTTTCTAGAGGGTTTGTGAAACCTCACTTCCCTTGGGACATTGAATCTTTTAGAATTCAATTGAGTGCAAGCTTTTCCAGAGGGATTGGGAAACCTCACTTCTCTTAAGCAATTAGCGCTTTCAAATTTCAACGGAGTGGAAGCTTTTCCATAGAGGTTGGGAAACCTTATTTCTCTTCAACTACTTCACGTTTCTTATTGCAGAAATCTAAAGCCTCTGTTTCCACTCCAAGCCCTAAAATCCCTTTCTGTGTTAGAGATGGGTCCTTTCTGCTCAGAGTTGGAGGAGTTCCCAGGACTTGATTGTATCCATCACCTTCATGCTTCCTTGAAACATTTAGGATTGGCAAGATGGAAAAAAGTAAAGTTTTTGCCACATTAGCTTTAGCATCTCACTGGCCTTGAGTCATTGACTCTAGAAGAATTCAACGGAGTGGAAGTTTTACCAAACTGGTTAGGAAACCTCACTTCTCTTGGAGAGCTGGTGATTAGAACTTGTCATAATTTGAGGAGTATGCCATTTGTTGAAGCCATGCAACGCCTCTCCAATTTAATATTTCTTTATATATTTGAATGTCCCAAATTAAAAGAAAGATGCTCCAAAGATGGAGGAACCTAATGGTTCAAAATTTCTCACATTCCCCAAATCATAATACGTGGGCAATAGGGATGACCACGAGGTTTGGAAAAGTAGGTATGTTTAATTTGTCATACCTTAATCCCTCCATTTATACCACAATTGCAAACTCCTTGTTTTCTTTATCTCTGAAAACAGAGTTAGGGTTCTAATAAATTTGTAGAAAATAACTCTCCTTTTTTTTTTTTTTCCTTTTTTCTTTTTTAATTTCAAACTTCTACTTGTTGATCAGATCTGTTCATTGAATAATCAGGTTGATCAATTGAAGACTTCAACAAGCCTTCTCCAAATAATCATCTAATGGATGTTCTCTAGAAAGCTTTCTCATATAAAGACGCAATGAGGAGAAAAAAACAGGGGATTGCACGGGCACACATTCTGTCATTTTTAAGGTTGTTTTTTTACCCAAAATCCTGCTTTTAGATCTTAGATTTTTATTTTACTTTCTTTTTAATTGATTGATCATTTTTTATCCCTCTCTTCAACTTTGTTCATCTATTTTATTTCTTCTACAAAATAATAATAATAATATAATGGAGGCAAGTATTTCACTGTAATGAAGGTCAATTCAAGTGTACTTGAAAACCTTAAAGAGTTCCACACATAACGGCTGATGTGCAAACTGAACATTCTCTAGTGGCTCTCTTGTGTTGGAAAGCTTTGAAGGATCTGAAAGAGGCTCAAATAATGTCTCCTCTATTGAATCTAAGCCAGAACTTTGTGTAGTTTTGTCTTTATGCATTGCAATCATATGTTCTTAATAAAATTTTAAGTTTCAGTTTCTAGACTAAATAATTTTTAAGTATAGAAGCTATCTTTTTCAGGTTAGAGCTGGCACGACTTCCATAGGTACTGAGATAATAACTCTTTTTGCTTCTTGCACTTCCGCCAGGAATATTTTTCAGCGAACAGCTTAATTTTAAGCTTAATCTTAACGAATGTTTGAATCTCTGAGTTAAAGATCTTTTATGCTTGAATTTAACACATGCTTGAGTCATGTGTGCTTGAAAGGACTTTAGGGTTCCAAGCCA